TTGGCAAGTCACCTAAAGTTGTGGAACCCTCGTTTTCTTATCCAAATAAGGGAGAAATAATAGGCAATTTTAGGGGTTGTTATCAAAGTTAAATAAGAGAATGTGAGTGTGGAGCATCTGCTTTGGTGTCTGGGACAGAGCGGCACAGGTCCTCTCAGTACGGCCCTTGCCCCACAATGGACTCTCTTTTTGCTGGTAGTGGCCACCGTGTTATCATCTTCACGGAACCATGCAAAGCATATCTCAAAGTAAGGCCCTCCTGCTTCCTCTAATACCAAGGAGACTGCTTTGAGCTTGGTACAGGCGGTTCACAGATTAAACTTGTCCTGGATGAGAATTTCGGAGGGAGGACAGATGGATAACATGAGAACGTGCAACATGAGCCCATGAGTGACTGAATGAGATGGCTTTTTCTTAAGGGGAGGGGAGGGTCTGTCATCTACAGTAAGAGCTGATCTTCTAGAAATGACCCACAGGATTGTGTGAACTCAGAGACAGCACTGATAAGTGTGGACACAGGAAGGGTTTCACAAGGACTTCACAATGACTAGGCTTGTACAAGTCACCAAGGAGTGCATGTTGTTTGTGGGTGAGGGGGGTTTGAAGAGGGGTGAGGAAGCAAGGAGAGTCTAGGCAGAAGAACCGGCCTGTGAAAAAGTAAAGGCCCCAAGAGCATGGCTTAGGGAAGGCAGATCATGCTTCTGTTAACAGAGGTCAGCTGACGAGCAGAGAGGAAGGTAGCAGGACTCAAGAGGTCTGCTGTGCCTGTGTTATGACACGCTTAGGAACATATGCCACAGGCTTAGGAAATTAGGCCACAGGTGCAGAAACATAGACCACAGGTATAGGAACATAGGCCACAGGCATAAGAACATAGGACACATGCTTAGGAACATAGGACACAGGTGTGGAAACACAGGCCTCAGGCATAGGAAAATAGGAGACAGATTTTGCTCGGCAGCTGATGGGGAGCCTGCAGTGGCTGTGAAACAGCAGTGGGCGGTGGTCATTAGGTCCTATTGGCCTGGTGGTTAGGCAACCACAATGTCCCAGACATTTTCCCGTGTTGTTTTCTGGGTGTTATTTTCTAGTCTCACAACAGACTGGACATATTGTTCCAGGTGGTGTGAGGTTCAGAGTTTAAGTAACTTGCTGCTCAAGATTACACATTCTTAAATTGAGCAAACGGCATGAAAAGAGCAAGAGCACATTCAAAATATTAATTTCAGAGCAAGCCATTAAAGAGTGGAAATAATGAGATCTGAATGTAAATGAGGAAATTGACTTAGGCAGCAATGTTTTAAAAGGAAAAGAGAGGAGGAACACTGGCAAGAGGGGATTTGTGTTCAAAGCAAGGCCATTTGAGATTTTGGCAAGATCTAATACAGGTATATTCTGGAAGGACCTACGCTTGTTAATAAACACTGGGCCTCTGAGTTTGAAAGCTAGTTGATGATTCTATTATACGAGAAACAGTTGAAGATGGTGGTTAGTGCTCAGGCTCAGAAACCAGACTGGATTTCAATGCTTACCCATCTTCCTTAAGCATGAGCAGGTTATCTACTTTTCTGGGGCCCTATTTTACTCGTCTTTAAAAAGAAGACAATAACATTACCCATGTTGTGGGGTTGCTTAAGCATGAAGTGACGTCTATGTGTGTGCTTCTCAGTGTTGGAGGAATTCAGTACCATCAGCCAATGTTGCTGTGTGCCTTTGTCCTGTTCACCAATCATGTATTTAGACATTCTCTACATGTGCCAAGCACGGGGCTAGTTTCCAGAGACACAAAGAGGGATAACAACTTATTTCTGCCTTTAAACACATTTGATTTTACCCACATTATGCTGTGGGGCTCAGCAGAAGTACTGCTGACTACATTTAGGTTAAAGCACTTTCCTGGACTGTTTGGGCACCAGGGATTTAAAATCTTTATTCATCATGTTGCTCATTTGTGTAATGCATATGTCCACTCCCGCTCCCCATCTCCTCCAGTAGGGCATTTAGATCTGTTCAGCCTGAGCTATCTTTATGAAGGGTGCTTCCCTCGGCCCACCGGGAAACATCACGAACTCGATGAGATCATTTCAGCAGTCTCCTCCTACGTCTGTGTCCCAAACCCGCAGAAGGGGAGTGTTTGTGACTCAGGAGCCTCTCCCTCCCTAATTCATTAGACTTCTGGGAGATGTAGTATCTATGATTAGTGGATGTATTTCTCTTCCCAAGAGTATTTTTTTTTAAACAGATGACTTTATAAAGCCTTATTTTTTGTAAGCTGGAGAGAAATGTTAAAAGTTAGAATTTTCAGTGTCTGTACCAAACTATGAAAGATGTGTGTTGAGAACATCGGTTATTCAAGGCATTTTAAACCACACCATAAAGTCGCTCATCCCTGCATTTCCTAATCTTCAGCGATGAAGGGGTACAAGTGATTCTGCTCCTAATGCTTTTTCACATTGTCTAAAGGGTTCTCAGGCATCGAGGTGTAACATTATCATCAGTTGAACAGATAAAAACTGTTGGTAGGAGAGACACCATGTCCTCTTGCGTGTGCCCACAACATACTAACACGGACAGGTGAATGAGCTGTCGCAGTGGCCTCTGAGACAAGGTTGAAAAGGGACACATCCACATAAACGAATGAGAAGAAGGAAAGGAACACAGCAAGGCACGTGAAATAACCAAGTGAAGTGCCAAAGTAATGAAGTGAGAAGCCACTTTCATGCCGAGGAAGCTCTTTAGTGTGAGTGGGATTGTTGGGACAGTGGTGAAGTGTTTATCTGTCAACAAAGACAGACACTGGCATCCTGACCACTTTGCTTTCCAATAGAGCTAGAGTCTGTTATAGGAAAAGTGGGGTGTCCAGAACATGGGGCCTTAAGCAACAAACCACACCACTGGCAGGGATTGGCCAGGTCCATAATGAAATACAGCAGAAGCTCTAGATGTAAGTGTGAACGCAAGAATGAGGGTGATACCCTCCAGAGAGGTTCTTCTGTCATCCATACAGATGTATAACATGAGAATATTAATAAAGGAAACACCCGCCAGCCTAGTGTGGCTCCGTGGTTGAGCATTGGCTTATGAACTAAGAGGTTGCTGGTTTAATTCCCGGACAGGGCACATGCCCAGGTTGTAGGCTCATTCCCCAGTAGGGGGCGTGCAAGAGGCAGTGGATCAATGATTCTCATCATTGATGTTTCTATCTCTATCTTCCTCTACTTTCCTCTGAAATCAATAAAAATGCCTTTTTTTTTTTTTTAAGGAAAATATCCTATTTGGTATGCATTTGAAAATTTAAAAATCTCATTAATGTGATAAGCAATTTGGGAGTACCAACAATTATTTTATTAATAGCAAAAATTAACACTATAGCATTGGGTAGCTTAGAATATGGCTTTAAATGTATTACGTTAAATATTTTTTTTCAGTGTAAAGAAATCTAACTATACATTTAATTTTTATTATCTGAAACTCATTTATTTTTCTTGGATGAAACATGTGACACCTGTTCTCTTTTCTTGGATCAAACCATGACTGTATATATTTGAGACATGGAATTTAATCCAGAGAAATGGTTACCCAGATGATGGAAGGTTTGAGAGGCTAAACTGGGAAGAGTGAATCAACTGGATAGAGATTGGCGCAGGAGGAAGACAAAGGCACTGCCAGCCGCAGGTCTCAAGGGAAAAGGGAAGAGGTGATGTTACTGTAGCTCAGAGTTCAAGGTCACAGGGGTCATCTTTCCTGGCACCAAAGTAGGAGCAGGACAAGGAATGGAAGCGGAGGTTTGAACAGGTTCAGACCAGCACAACAGCCAAATAGCGAGTTAGGTAAACACAGTCTCCATCCTCATTTTCTCCTCCAGGGTAATGTTACGCTAGGCAAATTGATTTCCTGAGATTTGGAAAGGGCACTAAACTTAGCGCCTGAGAACTGCATTCTACCCACATCTCCTCCATAAATGAAATCACCAACTTAGTTCCACATACCATACCAGTAAACCCAATTTACACACCCTCAAGATGATGAGAGGATTATCCATTGTCATTTTGAAGATACCCAAAGCATAAAGGAAGCATCCCCATCTTTTGGATTAGATTTAGATGACGGTCAATGCTCGGGCAGTTGCATTGTTTGATTCAGAATTGTGATCAGAGGTACAGTCTGATGTCCTAGAAAGCCCCATTTCTTCCAAGTAGCCAAGCAAGCCACACTTGGAAAGCTGCACTCAGGGGTAGGTGGAGAGACACACGACTTTCTCGAGGAGACCACTCTCAGTCCCCCCATGTCTCTCCGATCTGCTGTGCATTGACTGGCATGTGCAGAGGAATGGCAAGTCGCCCAATTGCAGGAAGGGGGATTATGTCTGATGAGGTAAAAAAAAACACACACAACACTTATCCGTCCCTTTTATGGCAGGGCCAAACAAAGCTGGCGGTGCACACGTGAGCCTGTGTGTGTGCTTCACCGTAGGAAACACTTAGAAACTGCACCTGCCCTCAGCCATGCCCGCTTTAATGTAAGCATTACCAACCCCTCCCTCCCCCCTGCCCTCCAGGGCAGCCGCTGAAATGCCAGCCTTCCCCACACACAGACCGGTTAATGATTACACTGCCATTACCTCGTCACATTTTCCTCTAGTTCATGCCATTAAAACCCGGTTCTGTCTCATTTGGGCTTATTACTCTGATATGAAATACGTTAATATATTTCAAAAATTAGATGACCTTTAGCACAGAATGAAGTATGATGGCATTTGCTTAACAGAGACCAGGAAGTGAAGTCAAGGCCATCGCTACACCTCGCTCACCAGAGTTCACATGGTGTCTGATGATGCAAAAGAAGTAAAAGGCGCAAGGTTATGGCTTTCGCTGTTTGGTACCTTCACAAAAAGTACAAAACATTGGTCAGATTTAATCCCATTTTTCTTTCCAAGCAATGAGAGAAGCACTTTGAGGAGAGAGAGTTCAGTGTCCTTAAACTCTGTCTCAGACACTCACCTAAACTTCAGTGAAGAAACAGCGTGAACTTTCCAAAACCATCTGTTCTTTGAAACGGCACTTGGCTATGGCATTGAAGGACTCCCCAAGCACTTCATCCAGTGAATGATAAATCCTATTTGCCTGCAATGAGAAAAATGGACTTTTATTTACCTAAGCAGCACATGCTTCCATGTTTATTATAGAGACAGGAAGCCAGAACAGGCCTCCCTAGAGCATACGGTATTTTACAAGTTCTCTCACACACTAATAATGATCTGTAATAATCAACTTAGAGCCTTGGTTTTCATTATAAGCCAGTCAGAGAAAGGCAAGTATCACATGATCTCACTCATATGGGGAATTTAATGAACAAAATAAACCGAGGAACAAAATAGATCCAGAGACACAGAAGCATGGAATAGACTGTGGGATCTCAGAGGAAAAGTGGGGATGGGGGAGGGGGAGGGATGGGTGGGAAGAGATCAAAGACCTTGCATGCATATATGCACAACCCCTTGGACATAGACAATAGGATGGTGATGGCCTAGGGTGGGAGTGGGGGTGGGTGGAGGCTGGTTAAAAGAGGGCCATGGTGGGGGTGGGGGATGGGGAAAGGGACATATGTAATACTTTCAACAATAAAGGTTATACAAAAATATTTAGAAAAGGAGACATTTGTGCAAGAAGTCGTTTTATATATGAGGATGGTGAGGCCCTGGTGGTGAAATGATGTGCAAGATAAAGCAGCTCCTTAGTAACAGACCTTAGCATAGTGGCCTTGAATCCTGGGCTCTACACCTAGCTTGACTAAACACCCAGAAACAGAAAAAGATGAAATCTTCTGTGTTTTCCAAGTAGGCCGTTTCCTGGAATAGTGTCTCACCATCATTTCCACGAAAGCCAAGGAAATCACAGTTGAGTCACAGTGTCCTAGACCAGCACCTTCTCTTCTGATTTAAGCTCTAGCATTTGTAAGTAGGTATAAACCTGGAATTATGTAATGATCCACAGGATTTATGAGTCTTATAGGAATAGCATACATAGTAAACAGTTCAGGAAATTTCCTGTTAATGATTCTTAATGAAGCGGAACAATTTGACAAGCTGTTGTCTTCTGAAAAGGCTCGCCTGTGAGAACTTCAACAAGACTGGCTCTGGATTTCACTTCCCAGAGCTGATGGTTTCCTGTCCCCCTGACCCAGCACCCCTGACACTATCTCCATCCCTGGTGTTTCTCATCATCCTCTCTTCCTCCATCCTTTCCCTTTTCCTTCTTATCAGCACACAGGCTGGCTGTTTACTTTCCCAGGTGCTAGATGGCTGGAAGCACAGCAGAGATTTGAAGCTCAGGGATGCCCATGTTAAGATGAAGGAAAAAAAATTGGGGAGCAGGGGAGATCATAGGAAATAAAGGGGAGAAGGCATTGGGTAGCATTGGGGTGGAGAAGGAAGGGACAGAGGGGTCTCGTTCTACCCTGATGGAGGGGATCGGTGCCCCTGATTCCATCTCCACCCTGTGCTTTCCTCCCCCACGTGTATTCTTGAACTCCAGGTTGTCTAGAATGATTACAGTAATTATTTAGCTTCCACAATTTCAGGCATCCTATGATTTTAGATCCAAAGAGAAAATTCTATTCCAATAATCCCTCCTGCCTCTAATCCAGGTTTTAGGTGTATTCACTATTGCATGAGATTTATTTTACGGCAGATAAAGAAAATGTCATGACATGATTAACCCTTGTTCTGCCATGTTAGAATTCAACTGACTCTCCCTGTACTTAGATTCTAAGTACACTCGTGCATTTGGCATTCTTTGAATTAGAACTACTATTGGAACAGTAGTACCTCAGATTTTTTTCTTCTTAAAATACTTACTACTTAAAAAAAAATAAAGTAAGGCTCAGGTAAATTAGATTTATGCTTCTGGGAATAAGTTAGATATTAAAAACATAACCCCCCTCTCATAAATGTAGTTCTCCAAGCCATAGCATCAAAAAATAAATGGAAATGTTACACAATATTATAGGTATTTTCATTTAAGACCATATATATAGTTTACACATATAAATGAACATGCAGCTATATCTCTATATATAAAAATGTAATATGCAACTCGACTGGACAGCAGAATGACCGGTCAGCTATGACACACACTGACCACCAGGGGGCAGGTGCTCAATGCAGCAGCTGCCTTCAGCCTGCAGGCCCCGATCACCTGATTGAGGCCTGCCAGCCAACATCTTAGTCTTTCCTCTGACTGGTAGGCTCTGATCGTCAGATGGGGAATGGGGAATCAGGGTTTGGTGGCGGTGAACATGGGCAGAGCTGTCCTCCCACCCCCCATCGCCCCAATGGTTGCCCCAAAGGGTGACCGGTGGCGTCAGTAGGGGGCACGGCTGGCTGCTGGGAAGATCAGCTCTGATCACAGGCCAGGCCTAGGCACCCTACCCATAAACAAATTCCATGCACCTGGCCTCTAGTCTAGCAATAAAGGGATACTCAAGATACCCTTATGTAATGGCCTCTTAGGATGATGCTACTGGTTGTTGCTCCTCTACCTAGCAGTTTTTAGAAGGATGTTTTGCATTCAATTTTTCCCCAGGTCCCTGGGTCATCCCAGATTGCAGTAGACTCAGAGGCTCAGACAGATATGCTGTGTTCAAGTCCCCCACAGGGTGGCTCAGGTTATGCACCTTAACTGTGACTCCAATAAAAGTTACAACTTGGATATCTTCACTGTCAGCTGGCTTTGGTTCCTGCTGTTCCTCCTCCCCCAAGAAGTGGCGGTCCAGCCTGTTTCTCACAGGCTCTGATCAAAAGCAGCTGTCTGATCTGCAGGCAGCTCCATCTCTCCCCTCTTGGCTTCTGTCCCCTGGAGCGCGCAGAATGCAACCGCATCCATCATTCTTTTCACTCTCGAGCCTCCCAAACTGCCACCGACTTAAAAGCATCAGTCCCACTTTCTCCTCTTGCTGCAGCCCTGGACACGTGCAAAGCAAATTTCTCATGTGAACAGTGAGCAGGAACAGAAACACTTTTCCTCTCTTTAAATTCTTATTTAAATTCTCCATCAGCCATCACATTCTGGTTTAACGAACGTGTGACTAGATATTAAATAAAGTGTCATGGGGGTAAAAGAAAATACTTTCTCCTTTATCTAGCTTCCTAAAGAGCTTTCCGTTCAGGGTCCCGACCACAGTCAGGAGTTAGCATCTTACCATGGAGCCCCACAAGACACACAAGAACCTTGTTAATTTGGAAGCGCCATATTTTAGGCATATGGATTGGACGGAAGTTGCAGGAGGCAGAATTTTACTCAGTAAGTGAACTCCATCAACTGAGAGCACACAAAATAGCATGGACCCCCTAAGAAAGACAGAGTAATCTTCACACCAGTGGTGCTGATATAGGATGAAGAATCCTTTGTGGTGGTGGGATTTGGTCAAGCACAAGGGTGGTGTACGGAGTCACCCCAACTGAGATTCTGTGGGAGCCAGCCAAAAGTTAGATTGGAGTTAATATCCACATTTTATTTAGATTGATATCTTTACTGATCTACCCATCAAAAACAGCATCCCTCTCCCACTCTCTTTTGTTTGCCCTGATATATTCTTCTGCATAGCACTACTTTTTTTTTTAAGCAACAGATTTAAAAAATATATATTTTATTAATTTTTTACAGAGATGAAGATAGAGGGATAGAGAGTTAGAAACATCGATGAGAATCATTGATCAGCTGCCTCCTGCACACCCCCTACTGGGGATGTGCCCACAACCAAGGTACATGCCCCTGACCGGAATCAAACCCGAAACCTTCCAGTCTGCAGGCCAACGCTCTGTCCACTGAGCCAAACTGGTTTCAGCTGCATAGCACTACTTTTTATGTATTCATCATCACTGCACACTAGAATATAAGCTCCATGAAGGCGGGAGTTTCATTCACTATTGTACTCCTGATGCTCAGAACAATGCCTGGCCAATAAGTAGGCTTGTAGTAATATTTGTAAATAATAGGCTTGTAGTAAGAAAGCATATATATATGCTTTCCTGCACTTCCCAGCTCTACTCTTGGAGCCATTCCTCCATACCCAGACCTTGGTGTTTGCACTCTACCCTTGGAGTCCCTTCAATGTAACATGTTATACAAAAAACTGAAGGACAGGGGCTGTAGTATTTCTTTCTTCATCATCTTTAACACGACATCTTTAATAATCCTCACTACATGTTGATCTGATTGATGGTAGAACGATTAGCAAACATGAAGCTCAGCGTTTTCTCACTTGGTTTCTGTACAGGGTGGCATCAACTTGTTCAGATCGTTTCTCTGGATAATTAGCTATTGTCCTAAGAAGGTCAAAGTAGCGTAGGAAGCTACAGCAAAGTGGACGTGGGCTTGTGGCCTTTGGGCTAAATTCAGAATCACCCCAGACACGAGGCTATTAGGTCAGAGTCAGGGAGACAGGACTCTCTGGATGCTTGAGAGCTGGGGACGGAAGGCTCAGGGAGACTCAGGCACTCTCTCTGTTCCAACGATTTGTTCTTGTTGATGAAGAATTCTGCCCGAGAACCAGGAAGGTCTTGGATGTCTGCACATATTTCCTATTAAGGTCATAGAGTGTTACTTCTAGCTCCTAGGATAAAGAGGCTTTGGCACTGGGACAGTCTGACATTCAGATCCCGTGTGGCCCCACCACAGAAGGGCAAACTCACAAAATGTGGTGGGCCCCTCCCACCAGGGATTCCGGGCGCCAGGGGAAGTGCTGCTGAGACCGGCTGTGTCTGCTTGGTGCTAGTCAGCCACCTCGCTCCTGGGAAGTTTTTACCTCTTTGGCCAGGTAGGCAAATTAACCTCAGAGCACATGTGTAATTTCTTTCCATCCAATTATCGCCCAAGGATTGCGGAGGCCTGCACTCTCGTTAACGATTCTATGACTTCAGGCACGGATACAGGGAAAGTAGAGTCCCTGCCTGCCTCACTTCCTTGTCATACATAACCAGGCTGGAAGAGGACATCTGAGCAAGTGCAAGATAGCAGCAGCAAAGGATTGAGTTTTGCTCTTGACATTTCTGACAGGCAGGGATAAAAAAGTCATGCTCCATCACTTAGGTTAAAATAAGATAACACAGAGAGAACAAGAGCAT